TGCTTGTACCGCCCGGGGGGCGGAAATAAATCCAAAAAAAAAAAAAAAAATGAGAGATAGAGTTGGGTGTCGTCCATGTACTGATGACACCAAATCCCAGAAGTTTCCCAGATTAATGGGTGGGTGGATTGCAGATCATGACTTGTTGAAAATTCTTCCCCCCAGGAAGCCATGAAGAGGAGAAAAAAGCTCCCCTCTCTCTTTGGGGAGGTTGAGGGGGCAGAAAGCAGGGAGTACTACTAAATATACACAAACCATAACTTCCCCCTGAGGGAAGAACAGCCCTTCCCTGCAAGAAAGAAAAAACTTCCTCCTGAAGGGGAAAACTCAGGCAAATTGCCCTCAAGAGGCCAAAAATCTAGAGAGCTAAAAGTCCTGCTTGAGATGAAGAAAGAGAAAAATAATCGTCTCTTTCTCAAACACTCCCGTGAGGGGGAAAAACCGCCCGCTCTAAAGTGCCCCTCCCCCCACCGCCGCTGCCAGGGAAGGCAAAGCGCCTGCGCAGAGCAAGGCGCCCAACGGCAGGGTGGGGGAACCCCCTGCTTTTGCGCCTGCGCAGGGACACTAAAGACGTTCTCCGAGGAGGAGGAAGCGTCTAGGGTGGGGGAGGGGAATCTGGTGTTCGCGGAGGGGGGTGCCTTTCATCGGCCGTTAAGCCATAAAAACAAAAAAGCAAAGAGCGAGAAGGTGATTGATCATCGAAAGTTGGCTGGTTTTTTTTTAAGTTGGGTTCTCCCTGAGGAGGCGTCCTCGCCGTTCTTCCTTCCCGCCCTTCCCCCCCCTTTTTTGGCGGGTAAAAGTGGAGGCAGGAGGAAAGGGGAGGAGGAAGGCGGCGGCCGCCATCTTCTCCTTCACAGTCCTTTTCCCTTTGAAGGTAGGTGTGTGTGTATGTGAGAGGGAGAGAGAGAGAGAAGAACGAAGGAGGGGGGGAGACTCTCACAGGCTTCCTTCTTCCCCCCACTTTCCACCCCCCCATTAACCAATCCCACCTTCTCTGAGTGCAGGGTGGGGGGGGGGTGAAGGAGGGTCT